ACTATAATTATTATGATTTATGGTTTTCTGTTACATCTTTAGTCCTTGGATTGTGGTTTCTGTTTTGTATCATCTTTGTGCTTCAGGTTCCTATGTTCCCATGTCTTAGTGTCTAGTCTGCGTCTTGGTGCTTTGTCTTTGTTCCCTGTTTTACTTTGGTAGTCCTTGTCCCATGTTTATGGTTTCAGTTCTGCTCCCCTGTGTCTCGTCATGAGTGCATTTCCCTCCTGTCTCCCATTCCCTGATTACGCCAGTACGTGTTTAAGCCCTGTGTTTTTCCCTGTCGTTGTCGCGTCCTCTGCGTTAGTTGTGTTTTCCTCAGTCGTCATGTTTTGTCAGGTTATGTCATGCCAAATCATGAACTCCCAGTTTAGATCATACTTCCTAGTTTGAATTTTGTTTTAGTGCTCATGTAAAGTTTGTTTTCTGCCAGTGAATAAATATTACCGCCTTGAGTTAAATATTCCATCTCTGAGTCCTGCGCGTGGGTCCAACCAGCCACACAGCTCAGCGTGACATGAACCAGGAAACCTCTTGCTGTGTGGTGACAATCGTAACCACTCCACCATCCTGTTCTAGTGTCTGGGTCATGGCAGCTTCTCTCTAGGCATGCTCTGACCTCGGTATGACCTCTGTATGATGTGTGCCATATATGACCACTCCTATGCTACTTTACTATAAAAATCTTTTGAGATTCCCAAATAATGCTGTCTCCATGGGAACCTAGACAAATATGGCGAGAACAAAGACAGCTCAAGTGACAGTGTCAAGATGGCATCAAGATCCCCAAAAACCACCATTTTCCTTGATTTGACCAATTCTAAACTCCACCTGTCTAATTCATCAGCAGGTTTTAGCAGCAAAATTAGCTCAATGTAGCAAAAGTAATAGATTGAAGCTCAGAAATAGTTTATTAGTAATGAGGCATATTATTATATGTAGTATTCCAAACTAATATAATGGCATGTTTGCTGTTTAAAACATTTTTATCCGTGCAGAATAATTGATGTATATTTTTCTTAAAAATATAGAAATACAAGGAAGTTAAAAAAAACCCTTATATTTAGTTCCTTGTTTTATTTCACTTGAATTAAAACTTTTTAAATAAGGGATTCTTTGAATGGCCACTAAGTAGAGATATGACTCTATAGATATAACAGCTCTTTGTTCATTCGCTGACATTGTAGGTTTTCAAACATTACAAATGAGCACAAACAGAAGTATTTGGGTTTCATTTTGACTCCCCTTATGATGAATGCAAAACATATTTTACTCATTTTTTTAAAGTGAGGAATTCTAACTAATGCAGATGAGCATTTAGTTTTATAAAAGTAAGAAAACTAAAAATGTAAAAATAATACTCACGAGTGTGGCTAAACAGCAGAATGAAAAATGAAAGAAGCGGCTAATCTGCCAGAAAACAGACTGACGCTGACTTCTGCAGAAACAAACTGGACCAGGAAGTTCTCAACCATACACACACACACACTACATATACAGCATATGCAAAACCACACCACGCCTATCTGTGTCTGTTATCAGCAGCGGTGTTTCCTGTGTTTGCATACAGCTGAGGGGTTTATCATCAACCCGCAGCACTCTGCTGTAGTCATGGGAAAACGTTTACCTTCAGTTAACCTAAAATACCCGTTTCATGTTCACTGGCTGGTAGACACCAATAGAGGGCGCCCTGTAGTCATCAGAGATACAGGCCTCCAGCCCAAGGAGGAAAAGGGGAATCTTGTATTGTGCAGTGCCAAGAACTGTAGTTCTTTTTGTGACCACTTGAAGTTGGATTCAAGAGGTCAAACACCAGACTTGAGTGTTCAAAAGAAACAATTTTTTTTCCAGGCTGTAAGAAAAAAAAAAAAGCAAACATCCTGAATTAAACCAAAAAGGTTTAGTCTTTATGGCTATAACAGCTGTACAAGGGAATAACCACAGTGGATTTTACTAAGGTTTAACGTTATGCACGTGGCTGCTTTGACTGACAGCTACCCTGACAGTAGCACCTGCAGCCAGTCAATGTTTGTTGGCCTCACCTCCACTAATATGATTTACTGGATGTTACGCAGAGACGTGTGGTGAGGAAAACATCAGACATCATTCTGCCTTAACTGAAGTATTTACTTTATTGTCTCTTGCCAATCTTTTGCACATACAGACAGCAACTTCTCTAAATGGCCCCTTTTTCCATTTCTTTCCAGCTTTGAATACTCTAGAGACCACGCCTTCTCAATCCAGACTGGCCTATAAAAGAGCTGCAACAGAGGCGGGCCTTCTCCTTACAAGGAAAACAAGATGGCCACCACAGAGGCAACCTGAGAACACCTTGCCACATTAGTGCTTCCCAACATTACCCACTACCCCTTGTGGGTAATGTTTGTATTTATGCTTGTATTCAAAAGGTTCCTTCATGTAACGATCTGCTAGAGGGTGTGGGGAGCCATAGCCCCGTCCTCCAGGGTATGAAGCAGGTATGGAGGAGATCCAGGCTCCAGACATCCACAGACCCTCAGAGCACAAGAGACCAAGCAAGACCAACAGAGGGGCAACCAGAGTGGACCGAGCCCCAGAGGCCAAGGGCACCCCAGCCCCGAAGGGGGATGACCGAGCCACAGGTGCCAGGCCCTGACAAGCACCCACCAGGAGTGAGCTGGTGCATACCTGAGCGTTGATGTCTTTTAGAGATTTTTTATTGTGGAAAAACAAAATGCAAAAATTAAAAACCTTTCAAACCAGATTTCATTCTTTCAGATTAGTTTATTGCAGATAAAACAATAAAAACTCTGTGCAGCCTTCTTCTCTGAACCTGTTTGATGTAGAGTCACAAAAAGGTACAACGAAAACAACAGAAGCAGAAATAGAATTAATCTCATATAAGCGTTCAAAAGTTTTATCAATGAAAGCTTATGTGTACAGCAGCTTCCATGCAGGTTCAAAATACTTCAATTAAAAGCGAATAATACGATGTGACAAAATGTGATAAAACAGAAAAAAATAATATGAACTGATTAACCACAAAAAATGAATTAAAACACCCAAACTTCACACAAATAGAACACACGTTAAACTACACTAAAATCAAAGTAAGAATATTTTAAAAATAAATAAGAGAAATTAAAAAAATATGAAATGATTTGTTCACATCTGATGTCGTGAGCAAGAATAAAAATCCAGCTGTGATACTGACTTGATGTGCTCTCACCCTGATGACGTTAACATCTACACATGGTTCATGTTTACACAGACTGATACCCTCCCCTTTATGTATGAAAAATACTAATTTCAGGACTGAGTTCATTTGAGTCACTCTATCTTCTGCTTCAAAAGTCTGACATTTTGCCTGGACAGGCATAGAGATGGATCACCTCCCAGTTTGTCTGAATTCAGTGTACGCCTATTTGGGGATCATAGAAGTTTTCATTGAGTGCTTTGATAGCATCTCCTCCATACTGTCAAACTCTTTTGTGGTCCCACATAAACAGATGATTAACTGTGTCAGACATCAGAGCATTCATCCAGAACCAAGGAGAAAAAGTCAAATTTTTTTACTTTTAACATTTTTTTAACTGAAGCTTCAGATTTCCTTCACTGTCCCCGATCCATCTTGTTATAGTTTTCACATTCTCTCATTCTAGCAAAGCAGGATCTACCAAACAGGTTTTTTTTTCAGAGAATGTCATGCTTTTCGATTTTGTGGGAAAGCTGGATCATTAGAAGAGTAAAGTAAAAAAGTAAAGTAAAGTAAAAAAGTCATTGGTGCTTTTGCAGTTTTTGCTAACAAATTTCCTAATGCCCATTCTCGCTCTGCATCACTTGAGTTCTTGTTTTTATTTGCATCATTAGTCTCATCTGATTCAAATTGCATGAAAAAAATGCATGATATGCACTTATTTTGTTTTGGATCCTAATTTCTCCTTGACCTCACACAGGACGAGGATAATCGATTAGCCAGGTGTGATCCATGTGTGCTCGGGTGTGCGTTAGATATAAATGGAAGTGTATTTGTAGTGTTACGGATTCAAATATTGGGGATGGACACAAGAGGAAAAACCCAAAGAACATGGTCCGGCCGGGTTGAGTCAAACAATGATTTTAATGATCACACGAGTGGGAGATGGACACCGTACGCAGACAGCCTCAGATCTCGCCCCAAAAACCACATTTCCATAGTTTTATGAAATCAGCCCCTTCATGCGTAAGACAGGTGCAATACAATCAAATGTTGACAGTTTATTTAACACAGAGAAGAACATTCGCTCCTTCCCGAGGACAGGCACTGACTCCCACCTGTCTCCTGGAGCCAACTGTCTCCCTGCGGAGACACAACATTGCAGCTACAAGGATTTCCAAATTGATTAAGGTGATCAGTGTGTAATGCTCTGAATCAAGTATGTAATATTAAATGAATATTGTTTAATCAACTGCCACTACGTAAAACATAACAAAAGATATAACTGAATACAGAATCACAAAGAATAACATTATATCAGTGCTGTGTAAGCGCGTGCGGCCTTCTATGCTCAAAGCCTTTCCCCTCCATAGATCAGCCAGACATTCGCGCTGACTGTAGCTTTTAACCTTTATTAACTTGAGCACAACTCTATAATGAGCAACAAACTGCAATATGTGTGAGATGATCATGGTTACACCTGCAATGAAAGATCATATGACTATTCCGGTACCTGTAAATAAAAGATTAACCTAAGGTTATAACAATCACTGTAATGTAAAGGTTAATGTAAGGTCAAAAGCTTCAATAAATGTTTAATGCAAAGCTGAATATATGATTCTGATGAACTAATAATGCAGATAATAAAATAACAGAAAAACATCCCCTTTTTATCCCACAGTAGTTTTCTTTTCAGTGAGCAGAGTGGGCTTTTCTTATTTATTATGTTTTCTACAAACGTCTCCTGAGTGGATTGCTATCGCTATTGTAAAGTTTAAATATTTCTGAGGTGACCCATTCACCTATATATTCCTCATAGGGTAAAAATTACCTTTCTTCCTTGCTGGAGGTTCAATGAGCTCATTTTCAAATGTTAATCCTCTTCAAGCTCCACCTCCACAGGGTAGTGATCACTGATGGATTGAGCCTGAATATAATCAAGTCAGAAATCCTTTTGAAGACAGCATGGTGGAGAATGCACAACGTTATAATACGAGTGTTTGCATGTGAACACTTCCATGTGAAAAGTCTTACCAATTTCTTCTTTAATTTGTAGGCTTTCTGGAAGTTGAAAGGCTTCGCTGAGTTAGCAACAACAGCATCATACATCTCATCTCCATACACCACGATCCTGTTGGCAGAAAATACAGTCACCATTCTGTGCACTTTCATCGACACCATTGTGCGTTTATTTGAATTGAGAAAGATTTATATGTAATCAGATCATTCACACTTTTCTAGTGACAAGTAGCAATGCAGGGAATCCAGTTTATACAAATGTTTTTAGTGATACACCAAAGTCAAGGCAACAGCTGTCCACTGTTCTTCAACAGCAGGCGGTTAAACAGATGTGTTTTACAAACCAGCAAGCTGGTCTGCAGGGCTGCTGAAATATTTTGTACTGTTCAACAAAAATTTTCTGTGATGTACTGGGTCAATAAATAGGTTATGATTGCACTTGTTCCTCGCTTCCAGTGGGTGCTTACTGCTCGTCTACATTTGGGGGCAGCAATGAGTCCGTTAACGCTCAGTGATTAAGAAAACTAGACTGAAATATTCAAGTTCATTTTTATTGTGCCAAATCACAACATGTTGGTTTATACTGCAGCATAAGGACCACACAGTATGTGGAAGACACATTAATTAGCGAGCAGTGATATATAAATACCTGAGAAGTAAAGAGAGACTTAGTAGAAAAGAAATGCTGTCCATCGGTGTGTCACAGGAAGTCACGCGGCACTCTAAGACCATAGCAGCATAACCAAAGGAAGGTTCAGGGTCACCTGATACAACCCTAACTTTATTCTTCATCAAAAGGAAAGTTTTAGTCAACCTCCCAAATCAAACTGGGAACTGGTTCCACTGTAGAGAAGGTCCTGCCCCCCTGTCTGCTTTTAACACTTGATAACTTGAATTATGACACAAAGATGAAATTTTGGATTAAATCTTATGAATGCAATTTAACCTTAAGTTTAATTCTTTATTGTCATACTATGTACAATCGTACAGCGTACTGTCCCATATTGCTGCTAAACGATGATAAATATATATACAAAATACATCACACACTATATCCAGAGATGAAGAATATGTGAAAAAAATACAGAGTCCCTGCAGACAGTGACAGTAGAATTAGACATGACAAATCTGAATAAACCTGTCGTAGGTATGGTCATTAGCCCCAGTAGTGGTGTCAGCATCTTCATCTATCAGCCAATAATAAGGAGCAGAACTGATGCTTAGAGCTTCCCTAGTTTCATCATTCAGGTAACGTCCATCTGCATTGAAGTCGCCCAAAATCATGATGTTCTGCAGAAAAAAGCAAAATTAAAATTAGCATTGTAAATTATAACACATATTGATTACATCAGTGCTATTATAGATTTTCATTTTACGCTTTTTATTATTCTTTTTTCATTAAAAATGTCTTTTAAATTCACATTAGTATTTGGAAAGTGTCAATTAACATTATATAATAACTTTTGCAAGATCCACTAAAATTATGGCTGGAACAATATAAACAATGTAACACCAGCCGAGGCTTTTTGGAATCCTCTTATGAAGCCTGTAAATACCCACATTAATCCATTTTTTATGCCCAAACACAGTTTGAGCCGATGTAAGTAGTTAGTTAATGTGGCCCTTGGTGTTTTTAAACCAGATGTTATGAATGAGGAGAGGTTCAGACTTGAAGCTGCGCTCTCCCTGCCTAATGACTGAGATGTGACTGATAAGACGTTAGCATGTGAGCATATCATGGATTATTGTTTTTTTCAGACACTTCAAATGACTACAAGGCACAAAATGAAATTAGCGTTTTATTGAATATGACTTAAATGAGTGACTGAGATAAAAGTCATCAAGAAAGTGTTTACTGGGATTAGGGCAGAGGTTTGTTTTTTTTACCTATTATAATGATCAATTATTATTTTTAGAAGTAACGGTATCTTTTATGCTGTCAGTTCAAAATTATTAAAAAAACAAACATGGTCCATAATACATGTAATGTCAGACAGGCTGGCTTTGAGCCAGCAGTAAATTAAGTAATGGCACGAAGCTGAGATGTCATCTGATCTGATATTTGCTGTTTTCACTATGTGCATTTATTTGAAATGGTGTTTTTGCTTTAACATGTTTCATAATATTTGCATTTAACTTTATACAAGGAATTCGTTTTTACTTTAATAATGGATCTGTTTGGTTACATTGTAAGTCGAATGCTCTACATAGCATTCTTGTCTCATATTTCTTACCTCCTGCATAAAGGGAGCCTCCTATCTTTGAGATAAAAAAATGTATGTATGGTTGTGAACAGACCGCCACACAGAACACATTTAATGGCATTAAAAAACTGGGATTTAAAAAACATTTTAAACTTATATAATGATTAAATATCTAATTATATAAATTATATAATTAAGAACACATGTATTTCTTCTCTATCCTACCTTATATCAGCCGTATAACCCTGTGTACAAACCAGGTCAGTTTATATCAGTAGGATAAGGAATGATATTCAGGACAATAGCTCGGGCGCTTGAGTTTGAACCTTCAGTGTGGGCATTTCAGGTTTTTTCTTAATGATATTTTTATTAAGTTATTTTTATTTTGATGTACCTTCATCCTGCTTACACCTTTTCAGCTCTGTGTCTTATTATCAGCTTGTCTAACATCAGTAGAGGTAATGAAGAATTTTAAACTGCACTAACTTGTATGAAATGTGCTATGAAATAAAATGTGATTGCTTGATAATCAAATAAAATATTTATTATTTTTGTACCATATTTAACATATCGATTATATGTTATTGATTTAAAGCTTACATCAGTTTTCAATGTTTCCCTTGCATCTTCAACCACATCATCCAGAGCTTCCAGCTCATTTTCAGCATCATCTGGATCAATGTGGACTGGGATCAGAACCAGATTCTTCACAACTAGAAGCACAAAGAGACGTTATAAACATACGATTTACTGATTTACTTTTGATGGGGTGGCACCGGTGACTTTAGTAAGTTGACTGTATTGGGTGGCACAGACTGAGCCTGAAATGTGGTTTGTCCCGGTGCCCCTTGTCTATAATACTGTAAGTCTTACAGTGAGTATTTTCCTGAAGTACAGCTTTAATATTCTTGCACCTTATTTCTATGCTTTTTACTTTCTTCTTTATTTTGGATTCCAAAATACTGCACACCAAAACAATTGTTACTTTTAATATTTTGAAATATAAATCTACTAATAAATGATATATTAAGATATGCCCAAAAAGATGATTCTGTTCACCTGGATGTAGCATTTTCCACTGAAAACGTTACAGAAACTTTTAGAGATTTTCTACCTGGATGATTGAGCATCAAGGCATCTATTGGCCGCTTTATGATGGTTAAAGCTACAAAGTATATGAGTAATTCATATATGTTTGAGAAATTCAAAAAATCCCCAGCTATAATATTAAAGTAATGTACACACTAATTTTGCAGTCATCTCTGGTATGAATCTACTGGCTGGCTGGGAGTTTCCTGTGTTTACGTGTCCTCGCTGTGACTGCATGACCTCTCTTCATGTACGCTGGCTTCCTCACACAGTCCAAAGACATGTATGCTATGTTAACTTGTGAATTTAGAGTGTGAGCATCAGTGGTTGTCTGTAGCCCTGTGATGGGCTGGTGACCTGTCCTGAATGTGCCATGCCTTTTGCCAAAGGGCTAATGAGATGGTACACACGCAACACCTGTGTCGCCAAATTAGATAAGTAGTTAAGAAGATGGATGGATGGTTAATATATGATCCTACATAATGACTTTATTTACTTTGGGCACTTAGAGTAGATTTTTATAGTAAAATTGTTGTACTTCTTCTGTTCTTGGTCATATCTGTGCCACTAATTTAACAATAATGAATAATACACATACATACCTGTATTTGGACAGTCAAACATCACAATGAAGGGCTCTCGGGCAAGCACATCTTCATTTTCTTCTTCATACTGGTAGTAATCTGTCACGTTTATTTCATCATGTCTGAGACACAAAGATAAACAGCTGTATTTTAATCTTTTCTGGGGATGATAGATTGACAATGATTAATTTCCTCGTCGCTAAACAGAAACACTCAAATATGAAAAGGACTTACTTATTGCTATGAACAACAATTCCTGTACTTTTGTGTTATTATTTCATGTTCATATTTATTTTTAGTTTTAAGATTAAAATTGAAGTTAATTTGTTAGTTTTTTCAAAAACTGGTTCAAAGATTTCAGTTTAACCTTTTAAAAAGTTAAAAGAAAAAAATAGTTTTCGGTACAAAATAACATTTATTCCCTTTATCTGTGATACACACACAAACAAATTGTAATGTTTTTAATCAGTAGGTGGTGCTGCAGAAACACAACTGTGAACCTCGTGATGGATACCTGTAGAAGAAGACAAACTGCTCCTTGCGAGAGTTTCGTCCTATTGGTTCACTGCTCAGCATCTCAAATGGATGATATTTGTTTTTTCTGTTGAAAAACACAGCTCAGCTCGATTTAACTTTTATTCTTTTTTGTGTGACTAAACGTGTCAGCGATTTAAATCCCAGTGAAAATGTGACGCACAGCTGCTGAAACTTTACAGCTGGTCTTCATTCTGTGGTTTCAGTAACAAACGATTTAACAGCTTTCAAGTATCAAACCTATTCCTTGAGCATAGAATCTGTATTGAACGTACATAAAACATGCTGTATATGAAAAAAATCAGCAAAAACATGAAGGTTCCAGCCAGTTTTAAACCAAAACTCCTCCCACCCAGTTTAACAACTGGCTAACAGCGGTAGTCACATTGTTCTAAAACAACAACTCGCTAAGCCACAGTTGCTTCATCGTAAACCTCTCAGATGTTCTGTGATTGTTACAGGTTATATAATTTGAGATAAATCACCCATATTTATTGAGCTCCGTGAGAAACTTTTTCATCGCATTGCCAGTGGGGTCCTGAACTTCCTGCATCACCACCAAACTGTACCGGGACACAATCTACGAGAAACACATGAACACGGTAAAAAACACGTTTAAAGACTGTAGCATAAAAGAAAATATTAGAAGTAATTTGAAGAAGCTTCAAAGACAATTAAGCAAGCACCACAAATTTAAACAATGCATCAGCTTTCATGAGCCAGCGTGAACAACATCAGGAAAATGAAAGGAATAAATGGTCCTATAATCAGCTATGTGTTGTTAGCATTTAGATAATATACTTATTTTTGTGAGATATGAAAAAAAGGAACAGGGCACAGACTGTAGTGGTGGATTACTGTGTTTAAAAAAAACAAACAAATTTAACCTCATGTTGCATTCAATAGCACAAAACTAATAAACACAATCAAAACTCTAAGTAAGTCAAAAAGGTCACAGTGTGCTCCACGACTATGATTTACCTTGATAAGGTTTTTCAGTATATTGTCATTATTGACTTTTTTCATTCCGAGGTTCTTCACATTAAACGCTGCAATCTTCATGGTCACTGTAAAAACAAAATTAACAACAGAGACTTCAGCAACAATAACACAGTTTAGCAACTTATTAGCAACTCAGGGATAATGGAGTGTGCTGATGTTCTGCATGTTTGTCTAATACATTACAAATATTGGTAGTTCTACACCCAAAGTATTAGTTTAAACATTATAAGGATAAAAATATATATATTTAAACCAGAGCACAAGAACTCAGGCGGTGATAAAAAGATGCAAAGCAGGGAGGAATTGGTCAAGAGCCTCTGTGAGAGGTGCAGAGCTAAATTTAGTCATTGGAAACAAACAAGGAGCAAATATCCTTGATTAAATTTACACATTTATTGTTTGGGACGGTGAATCTAGAGAACAACTTGGCTTTACCGCATGTAACCATGATCACAACCATACAGAAGTGTACAGAAAAAAGGATTATTTAATTTATTATCATATGTGTTTTATTAGCATGGAAAGATTATATCATTATATCATCTTTAAATAAAATAGAGTGAAAAAGTACAAGACAGTAGAAGAAAAAAGTGCAAAGCGTTTTTCTTAGTGTGATTTTATTCATTAATAGCCACAAGAGACATAAAGCAGACAGCAGTGTTGTTGACACGTTACCAAGAAATACTGACACAGGAGGATGCACATGCTATTCACAAACACTGTTCATGAATAGAAATGAACTATTTTTCATTCAGTCTATTTAAATTTGCAGGTGCAGATCCTCAACAGTTCACTCAATAGATGAATAATAAAGTGAGCAGTGAAGACAACTCTGCTTCACTAAAACTGGCACACTGTGCGGTTTTCAGACAGGAAACTCTTTCATTTAAAACTGAAACAAATCTGAACTGTCAAAACCAGTCGCGTTCTTCTAACAGTTCCTGAAATATGTATTTATTAACACCTTTTATTATGATATGTTCTTCTTTGACACCTCAAGACCTTTTTATAGTATTATAGTATTTTTATTATTATTATTACTATTATTATTACTTATTACTTTCTTTTTCTGCTTGGCTGACTTTAGCAGATAAATATCTCCCACCTGCAAAAAACTTCCCCTGACAAAATGCATATAATCTGAAAATCATTTTGGCAGCTTCACAGCAGTCGAGCTGGTTTCCCGCCAATTCTAACTTTGAATTACACAATGTAAATTTTGCAAGTCCAGTCAAATAAACAGCTGCTCAATTGCCTGCAATTATTTCTCAAACTTACCTTTTTCTGTAGAAAATGCAGAAAACTAAGAACAGGAATTCACCAATCTGGTTATGATGTCCTTTTGAATTGTCCTTGCTATCAATGGGACTGACTGACTGTTTTTGCAGGCAGAGAGACAGCCCGCGCAGTATGAGCATGCTCATACATGCAGCAGACACTTCCCTGAGAGATGGCACAGACCAAATGCAGAGCTAACAGGGCGAGTAATCAAATCATAAAATCATTGATTACAAGCAACATTTTCACAACTTTATATTTATCTGGTGCTTCCTGTCAGCACAAGACGAGAGGACGTTCTTTTGTGGAAATGATGTTAGAAAGGGTCTCAGGATAACACATAGATGTCTAAGGGGTCAGTGAGGTATGGCTGTGTGACATTTTTTTTATCCATGGCTGTGGTCATGACAGTCCATTCATATACCAAATACATAATATAGTTTCCTCTATCCTCAGAGATATATAAAGCTTCACTTGGTAATAAAAAATCTTCTTTCCTCCACTGTGACTCAAGCTGTGCCTTTCATCTCTTCCTACACACAAATATTCCCGCTTCTTTCTTGCTTCCCGGTCATTTTAAAATACAGGATGCTTCCTGTTGATGTGCAAAAAAACAAAAAATGTCCTTCCACACCCACACCACTGAGACATCTTGTCTGGATGGTGCGGCTGTTTCACAAACGCTGTGGTAGCAGCTGTTTCCTTCCTGTTATGTTGCCTGTCTGAAACTGCATAATAACAATGGCAACAAAGTATTAACAGAACAAATGAGTCATGCTAGTTGGGTTCTTAATTCTTTGGACAAAATACTAAATATAACCAAACAAAAGGTATAATGCTCACAGCTCCTTTGCATCAATATCATTAGTAAAATGAAAAGATTAAAAAGTGATGTTCAAATGTTCTACAGTAGAAGAAAATGTTTGCAGCTTTCTTCTAAAGACATTTCTGTACAAATTCATACAGAGAATTTAAAACTTCAGTATAAATACAAACAGACATTTGATTTCTTCAACTCAGCAACTTGGACTGTGTTACCTCAGAAAGTCAGGATGTCTGCTGTTCAACAAGTGTCTCTTCTAGTTTTGGTAAAATTAGAATACTTTATTAGTTTGTTACTTACAG